ATCGTGAAATGAACGAAAAGGAAGTTCGTTGTGTGCAGCGTTCGCTGTGTGAGGCGTTCGTTATGCGAGGCACCACTGTACGTTATTTATTTGATATTTGACTTTCAAACTTTGATACCCATTATATTCTAATTATTTGATTAAACTATATTTGCTATAATTATTTTGTTTTCTATGCTAAATTTAAAATAATTATTTAAATTGATCAAAATAAATTGGAAATCGAATACCTTGGAATCCTTCTTAATCCTAAACTCAACCTCAATTCCCATTCCAACAACAACTCAAATTAAAGCAAAATTAAATCCAGATCCCGTCATTTCCGTTCCTTAACCTTCCGTAACTCCGAAATATCCATAAAGTGCCAAACATCCATTTACAAATCTATATGCCGTCCTATCCTTGACTACGGTTTCCCAAAACTTTCCCAATGTCGAAATCCGTTCTAAAAAACCTGTCCGTATCCGAACGTTCTAGCCTTCGTATCCTAACCAAAATATCCTAATAATCCTCTACACAATCCTCCTAATGATCTCCTTTACTCCAAAACCAAAATATTCCCTCTCATTGATCGATACCTTTCCCTCTCCTTGAAATTTAAATTCAAACAGTCCAACATTGTCTCTCTTTTTAAATTCTGTGCCCCTCGAAATCCAAATATCCTTCCCAAATTTAAATATCCTACATTATCCCTGTTCCTACTGTTTTTTCCCTCATTATTTTGCTGTATGTATTTTTTTTATTGTTTTATTGTTCACTCGGTCGATAGCCTTTTGACCAGCTGTTGATTATTTTTCATGTTAGACTTTTTTTTCTCTCTTGTTCAGAATTGTTATTATTTGGTCATTACTGTTATTATTATTATTATGTTTTGTCTGATCAATAAATATTGTTATATATATATTGGAAATCGATAGAATTTATATATTTATTTTCGAATAATTTATTATAAAAAAAATATTTGACTGTGGCTGTTTCTTTCTTCAATAGTGATTTTTATACTTCTTTACTTCAATTTCATTATAAAATCATGAATGCCGAGAATAATCAAGAAGATTTTTGTTTGATATTTGTGCCCATTTACCGGGGAAGGTTTTTATTTGAAAACCACAATACTCCCAAGCGTTTTTGGAGCAAAAACCAAGAGTGAAAGAGGCCATCTCTTTTCTCACATTACATAAAGAGTTGTTAACCAGCTACAGACGCAATACCAAGACTTACAGTTGCAAAGAGAAGAGTTCCCTTTACTAAAAAATAAAAGTATTCCATTGCCCAGGAACTGAAGATTAGCCAGAAAACCGTTTGGAACCATTTGCATAAGGCTGGTCTCAAGAAATATAATAAAAATGAATATGTTGTATTATTTATTTAATATCACCTGATTTATAATAAATCTACAAATTACACGTTTTTCTCATAGTTTTTTGTTGAGAATTAACTCGGTGTTTTGGTACGGTGGCAATCAAAATCCCGATGTTCGAAATCGCGACTGTATCAAAATCCCGACAACCATCCCGACTATATCAAAGTCTCAACTATATAAAAATTCCGACAGTATCGAAATCCCGACTATTTAAATATTTCAGTCCCTGTCATATTGTTGTTTACATTAAAATACATAAATATGCAAGGAATATTCCTTTTGTTTTTCGGGCAAACCGAAAACACAAATCTATAGAATGTCACTCTTAATTTAACAGATGATTATAGGTATTTTATGAAATATTTGTTTCTCGTAGTTATTTTATGGAATGTGAGTAGACAATCCTGTAGACAATCATATAAACATATAAAAGTTTTAGTTTATAAAATGGTTTTTTTTTCTTTCATTTTCTTTCATTTTTAGAATTATGACCAATTACATAATAATTATAATTATGTCACATTATTTACATTATTAAAAGAAATGATAATTAAAAAATGGAATGATCAAAAATTATAAATAGTATACTTTAGCAATGAAGAGAAAAAACATGAAGTAAAATGTTACAAACTCCATAAATACCGAATCGTCGAGTCGAGAAAGATCAGTTGTAATTCATCTACGCGCTTGAAATGTTTCACATATATGTCTTTATAGCCGTTGCGCTGCTGCTCATCAAGTTATATCTATTCTATATCAGGAGGTCGTGCAAATCACATCGATGTCTTATTGGGAAAACGGCGCTAATAACTGGAGGATATTCTGGTAAATAATAATAATTATTAATACAAGTTCTTAATAGTTTTATCTGGAATTTTATATATCAGAAAATTAAGCAATGTTACTATTCGAATGAATTATATATTTATTTGTTTTACTCGTAATAGAATTCAAGTAGCAAAATTATATGTTTTTAGATTTTATTAATAATAAATATTAAATTAATATTGATTTTTGTTTCATAAACTGATGGCAACTAAACTGATTGAATCAATTAAGTATATATTTTCTTTATTTAATATCCAATTATCAGGACAAAATGTGAATTTCATTCAAGTTCGATCAATTATATAATTGGATTTTGCTCTAAAATCTATATGTTTATATCTGTTTTAAACCGAAATGATTTTCGATAATTTGAAAATTTAAAGCAACAGTCTGTTATTAAAATAAGACGATATGAACAAAATTCAACTATACATGAACCACTTGAAAATCAACCACAATGTTAAAGAGACGTTTGGGTCAGTCTTTTTGTGAATAATAATATACATTTTATTTAGAAAATAATTATAATATGCTTTTAAAGTGTAATTATTATTATAAAAACTAATAAATTTCTAATTATTATAAAACAAACAAATAGTTGAATGAACTTTATTTTTAGTCGTCGTTTTAAGACGAACAAGCATCTGAAATTTTGGTGGTTACCCTGTTCCTCTTCTTGCTTAAAATAAATTTCATTTGTAAAAATATTTGCTCATATTTATAAGTTGAAACGAATGTTGACAAAATGGCAAAGCCAATTTTTTCAAAGATGATGCCCAACACGTTGATATCATGAGAAAATGATTATCTTCTGTTTTTTTCCTAATCTTTCGGCAATTCCTTGAATTTATCCATCCAAAAACGTTGAATTTTTAAAATCAATCATTTCTATACTAAAATTTTCAATTTTTAGATATTGAAACTAATACAAATTTAAAACATTTTTTTCTATTTCGTCGGGCTTTATTATAAATGTAAACATTTCGCCTTGGTTTTTGAAACTTTAAAATCGACTTTCATATTCACTTTTAATGACGAAAATCCAACTTTCGAACATATTTAGATTGCTTTCATCGATATTTTCTTTTATAAATGTTTGTTAGAAAGATTTAGAAATATAAACTTATTTGTCAAATTTTTAAAATACATCTGATTAACAAATATTTTTGAATCATTATTTTTAGATTATCCTAATTATAACTTATTATTACGAAAAACAAGATTAAATACCAAATAAATAAATCAGAATGAGTGGATTTAAGCTTATTGTTAACTATTTTTACACTTAATATAAAAAAGTATTACTCAAAAAACATGAACCACGACAATCGCATTATATTTTTAAAAATTATATTAACTGTGATTATTGAACTTACACATGAATTTCAAGTTTTTCTTAATGATAGATTTGAGCTGAAAAACTGGTTACATGACTGGAAATGACTCTGTAAATTGGCATACTTAGCAGATATATTCTCTGTTTTAAATTATCTTAAATTATCGTTGCAAGACAAAGAAATTTCGTAACGTTCAAGGTAAAGTAAACGCTACTATAGTAAAATGAAATTTGTGGCAAAAGAGGGTTAGTTGACTCTGAAATGTTATAGTTCAATATTTATAAAACATCCACGCAAGAAAGTTTATATCATTCGGAAGAAGAGCAATTGTTGGAATTAGCTTCAGACGGTTTCTTGAAAAATAAACGTATGGAGTGAACTTTAATATCGTCATGCAACATGTGTATCCAGTTTTAACAGAAAAAGTCCTGAAATACTTCTTGTATTTTCCAACTTTATGTCTATGTGAAGTTGCTTTTTGAGTACTTGTAGAAATCTCAGATTAAAGTAAACAACCATGGAATCAAATTACGATGATCTGTCGTCTCAACATAAACAATTTCATCCTTCTTATTGATTATAAGGAATGTTATTTATCATGTAACTTTTATTTATTTTCTTATGAATAAATTTTATTGGAAATGGAAAAAAATAAATATATATTGTTTGCTATTAAAATATATGCAATTTTCTTTACTCAGTGTTGCAAAAGTTTGGGAGATAACAATAAAAAATTGTAACAAATTTTAACAGTAAAGAATTTTCTGGTGGTGCTCACTCTCCAGCATTGTACGGAGCACCCCACGTTAGCATGGACAATGATGATCGCCCTCTTTTTCACTTGTTTTCGTGATCGAAGTAGTTATTGCCTTTTGCCTGACATAATTGTTGTATTATATGAGCTATTAATTTTGTGAATAAAAGTGCTGTATGTCCTACCACCGTAGACTCCTTTAAGATCTCCCAAACATATATTATAAGTGCGATGAAATAAATTTCCTTTGTAATAAGAACTTAAGAATTCCGGAAGAATATATTTGAGATAATAGCGTTAAATAAATAAAGAGTAGTTTGTCAATGATTCACATGAATTTTTGCGATTCCAAAGTCAACAATTTAATTGAACGTGGACTTAGATAAAGAATATATAATCGTGTTAGTTAGTAAAAAAAATACATAGTAGTAGTAATCATTATTGACACAAAAAGTACCGACATTGCATGTATAATTAATCATATCGAAACGGTAGTAAAAAAAAACACTACTATAAAAACAAGTTGTATCTTTCAGTCGTTCCGATTAATAAACTTTATGTTTGTGTTTTCTAAATAGTGCATGATTACAAAATATAATTGCATTGAAAATAAATGTCATGGTAATAAGCACTTGGGAATACCGGAAGAATATGTTATAAATAATTACGTCTTACATAATTTTCTGCAAATATAAATTGAAAAACTTATTTGTCCGTAGACTTTCGTAATTAATAAATATAATTTTAGTTTGAGAAAACAAAATAATATTTTTTTTTATAATACGAGCATTTACGTAACAATTTTCATTATTTATATGAGAATACAATAATACCTGTTTATTTTTATTAAATTGACTATCACAATAGTATAATTATTTTATTTCTTGTTCCTAATCCTAAAAATGTTATGAATTCTAAGTATAATTTCCGTGATATGTTTACTTCATTTAGAGAAATGATAATTACTGCTGATTATATAAGAAAATAAATAAGAGCATTCATAATTTTGAACTGCGAATGAATTGAGAAAATACATGAAGTTTTTTTGTATCCTACTAGCTCCATAAATACCGAATCGTCGAGTCGAGAAAGTTCAGTTGTAATTCTTCTTCGCACTTGTAATGTTTCACATATATGTCTTTATTGCCGTTGTGCTGTTCTTCAAGTTATATCTATTCTGTATAAGAAGGTCGTGCAAATCATATCGATGTCTTGTTGGAAAAACGGCGCTAATAACTGGAGGATATTCTGGTATAGAACAATTATTGTTAATAGAAGTTTTTAATTGGTTTTATCAGGAACATTGTACATCAGAAAATTAAGCAATATTTACTATTTGAATGATTTATCTATTTATTTGGTTACCTCGTAGTAGAATTCAAGGAGTTTATAGCCGTGATTTTTTTTATGTTTTTGTATCTTTACTAATCAAAATATTATTTATTCTATACCAACTAAATTTATTTATGCAAGGAAATCAACACAAAATATTCTCCAAACGACATAAAATAGAGAAAATCAAACGTATTCGAAATATTTCAAAATTATTCTCAAATAATTGCAGATAATTATGAATTTGATAAAGAACATATACATTATTTAATTCAATGATTAACTTGATAATAGAAAATTGTAGATAATCCTTATAATAACTGGGATTTAAGTTTTCATTCACTTTTCAAGAAAAAAAAGTTTGGTACAATTTTGAATAGATATTCGGAAGGAATATCTCCACCTGTTTTATTGTCTTTGCTGCCACATGTCTGTGCGAGAAAGGATTTTATACAATGGGCAATAAAACAAAACTACGTAATTGACTCCGAATAGATTATGGCATGCGAATAGCATTGAGTAACGCAATTGAAGTGCGAATAGACAAATTAGTGAAATGTGTTCAAGAACAGAAGTCTCATTACAATACAAATTATCGATTATGTTAAGAACCACAGGTCGATGGAGAAATTATAAATTTTATTAATAATAAATATTTATATAATGGTCAAAGGGCATAGTGATCAAAATAACAATACCTCGCAAAATGCGGAGTTACATGATTAAATTATATATTTCTACATTAATTTTAAATTCGTATAGAAAATGAACATCTTGTTAGATGTTTTAAAAGTGTTCTACATTTATTTCGACAATAATAAAATATCCATTGTAAGTAAACATAAAAGACAGTGCATTGCACATAAATCGAGGAATTATACAATATTACACATTAGCAATGTTTTCATGGAAATTTTGGTATTCGCTGAGAATAATGAAACAGTATTATCTATATCGTTAAATCTTATGACCTTGGACTGTGGTTAAAGTGAACTGGAGGAATTTAAATATAGAATTTACTTCATCACATTATATCAAGCAATTGTGAATCTTGTAATAAAGTGTAATGCTGTTTTCTTTTTTGTATGTCTAGTTCATTATTGAGTACAAGTTTGTGTTACGTTATTGTGAGCAAGGTGAGCTGTTCTGAGAAAACGGCCAACACATAAGACACGGCTTACTTTCATGGAAAACTCGAATGATAAAATATTGTTAATTGAGGTTAATAATCTTTAACGATTATTTTAGATTATTAAAAGATTATTGGAAAATAATTTAGTAAATTTGTGGTAACTCTTTTTTAGATAGGTCAAGAGTCGGTAATCCATGGAATTGTAAACCACAAACAACTAATATCCTATAGCGCTTTGCTCCAAAAAGGTTGCTTAATACATTAAGGACCGTTTACAAGTATATACAGTCATATCTTAATTAACGAATAGAATACGTTCCACAAAATAACTTCGTTAAGCGAAACTACATTTTCAGAGGCAAAATAGTATGGTCAGAATAGAAATACTATTTCTTAGGAAAGAATGAAATTTAATATTAATTTGTATGGGAAATAATACAAACCGATGTATTTATAGTTTCATGTAAGTGAACCGAGATGAAAATTAGGTATTTTTGTACAAAATTGTTGTATAACGGATGAAATAGGTTATTAGTCACAAGAATCTCATAACTAATGTTACAAGTTTAGAAAATACCAATTGTGCTGTAATTATATTATTTGTATGTAATTACTTTTAATTTACGCATCCACACCTTGCGTGATATAGAACATTTATGGTTCTCAGTACCAACTACTTTAGATCACTCTGACGCATTTACGATGACCCAAAATTGAGCCACGAAATGATATGACAGCTATCATAATTGTGTCAAATAAGTAACTGATAAAATACTCTAACAACTAAAAACAAATACGTTTGCTTTACATGTTGATGGAGAAACGTTGAACTAGACAGAATAGTGTTGGTGTTCAACACCCCATTTGTGGAAATTCTTCAGCGTAATGAAAATAAAATTCTATGTAATTATTGGTATTCACCTAACCCATCGTCATAATTGTATTATTACCGTAAATGAATATTTTTTGAGATAATAGACAAAAAAGGTTTTTTACCCCTAAACTAATTAATTTTATAAATACAAAATTCTAAATTAATTATAACCATAAACTATCCTAGATTAACTTTGCACCTAAATCACTTAGTTTGGTAGTGGATCTTCACAATGTTCATTTGCCTACTGTTAATTTTTCTTAGAATTACCTAGTTTTTAAAGACGTAATAACTAAAATCTACTCCTTATAGTAAATAATGTATATTATAGTTACGACATCTGACTTAGTATGGATACAGAAAGTATTAGACTTTTCATTAATATTTAATTTATTTTTTTTGTGCAGGTATTGGATTTGCGACAGCTGTGGATTTGGCAAAAAGAGGTTGTAAGGTGATAATCGCGGATATTATGAACCCCATGGAAAGTGCGGAACGGGTAAAACATTTGACAGGAAACCCGAATGTGTATGGGCTTCCAATAGATTTGAGCTCTCTGAAGTCAGTCCGCAAGTTCTCGAAGATTTTGCACAATATAGAGGAAAAAATAGACATTCTGATCAACAATGCCGGAGCTTGCGGTTTTAATGGTCAATTCACCAACGATGAACTGCAGAAGACCATGCAGATCAATCATTTGGGTGGCTTCCTTTTAATCCATCTTGTTCTAGGTAATTTTTATAGAAATTAGTCCTTTTTCAAAAATATTGGTGTATTGTTTTAGACATGTTGAAAAAGGCGGAGAAGGCAAGGATTGTATCCGTGAGTTCTATATACTCGTTCCTGCATAATATGAAATCTCACAACGAGATAAACAAGCCGCCCTCGACCTTCGACAAGAAATTGACAACCATCGTCGACTACGGTAACTCGAAACTGTGCGTCATTGCTGCGTGTAACGTCATGAGCAAGAAACTCGTTAAATACAACATCACCTGTAATACGCTCTGTCCTGGTTTGGTGTGGACCAGCATACATTATGATAGTTTCAAAGCCATTCCCAATAAGAGCGTTATCGACAAATTCCTTTTCTTCACATTTTACCTCTCATGGATTTGGTTCTACTCCAAGGTGAGTACTAACTTATACTACTATGCATATGAAACGATAACATTACGTTTTCTTGCAGACTGTGATGCAAGGAGCTCAAACGTCTATAAATTGCGTCGTCTCGGAGAAACTGGATTCGGTCACAGGACAGTTTTTCAGGAATTGCGAACCATCACGACAACCAAGATTAGTGCAAGACCCAGACTTCTGCCAAAATGTATATAAGGAGAGCGAAGTTTTGTGTGGTCTTACGTCCGACGAAAAAATTTCCTAATCATTTCACTAGATTAATTAGTTTTGTAAATATAGTCCTCATTGTTTCGTTCTTCATCTGTGTCGCAATTAATGTACATTTAGTGAATTTTTTTAACAATAAAATCGAATATCTTATTTCACGACTAATTTTTTTTAATAACAATAGATTTTATTGACTAAAGTAAGAAGCAATATCAAAATTACACCCATACTTGAATGAAAATCAAATGTAACCATACAATAATGAAAAGATATAAAAGACAAAGTTGTGATGCTGTTCATCTGAATGTGAAATTTCATTTTATTTAGGATTTCCCCGTATTCACGATATATGTATAGATCCATTTGGAAACTATAATAATTTTTTAATAGAATATAATAAAAAGTGTTTGAAAGTTCGATTTACTACTTATAAAGCTGGAGAAGATATTTTTCTGGTTGTTCAAAATCAGCAATGATTTAATTTGCTGAATGTTTAATGAAATAACTTTTCTCGGATATAAAATACAACAAATAGGTAATGATAACTCTGAAACATTTTCATACAATTAACTTAATGAAAATGAAAAATATTCAATCTCCTACATAACAAGAATTTGATATTGTTGAAGGAACCGGAAAGAGAAAAAGCAATTTAGATCTTCTATTTAATACACTACTCTCAACAAGTACTGAATATGAGAGGACATTTTTCTTAGCAGGATAACAAAACTGCTACAAAATTTAAAAGCATATTTTTGAAATATAAATTTAAATTTCAATATATATATAGATATAAAGAGGAACCTTGCTTAACGAGCAAAATAAATTGTAATAGAAATGACTCGTTAAATGAACAACGTTTTGCATAACCAGTGACGAGCAGAAGAGAAATATCGGATTGTGCGCTTGCTACATCATTTTCCAAACTTTTGTTCTGACATATTATGTGTATTTTATGTTTAGACTTTAACAGATATAATTTAGTTTACTGTAAAACAAAATAACATTATTATAGTAAATAAACAAACTATGTATGCTTAGAAAAAGGAATCCTCGAAATCTAGACGGATTATGCTCGTTTTCAATATTATCTCGGTATTTTTTCTTCTTGAGATAATTTGACCAGTTTCTCGCTTTCAGTCCAAACAGCTTCGGAGAAAGTCTGGTCTGTTGCTTTTGTCGGGAGTTTGGAGACTTTGCAATCCGCAAAATAATACCCGGATATTCCTTCAAGGGATTTATCGATGGCGCAATGCAACGTTGTCTGAGCACCTTCTTCGGGACTCTTAAATACAAAGATTTTTCTTTATCGCAATTAGGTTTAGCGCAAGTCTCTTACTTTTCCGAAGGACCAGAGGATTATATAGCCAATGAATTGGAACATCTTAAAAAATCTTGTAAAATATCCAATACGGTTTCTAGCGGAAGCAAAGAGGGACGTGCAGACTACGCCTGGATATGCAGCGTTGACTATGATGCCATGCTTTGAAAGTCTTTCGGCAAAACCCCTTGCTGAGATTATATTACATAACTTGCTATTGTTGTAATTGATAATACTGTTAATATTCTTGTTCTTAAATTTGGATAGACTATTGATATCTTCTGCTGCTTTTAGCTGGTGCAAGAAAGCCATAAATGAGGTGAGGAAGACCACGCGACTCTTCGGCGTTTTCTTTAAGAGATCTAAAAGAATACAGTTTTATTTGTTGCTTGTGAAATGGCACTTGAATGGTCTTTACCAACTAATAGGTGAGTTAAAAGGAATGAACCGAAATGGTTAATGTGCATATCCATCAATATTCCATCGTCGCTACAGATTTCAGCAAAACCAGCAACACCTGCATTGTTGATCAGGATGTCCAATCTCGGTTCAGTATTGACTATATATTCAGAAAATTTTCGAGTTGACAGCAAACTGCCCAAATCTAGCCATTTGTATATGATATTATCATTTCCAGTTTCTTCAACAATTTGCTTTCTACTGGATTCTGAATCAACGACGTCGGCTATTATCACCCTGCATCCTCTGGATGCCAAATGCAATGCGGTTTGGTATCCAATTCCTAATTAATAATCATTATACTATATATATTAAAATATTGAGGGACTTACCAGAATTTCCGCCCGTTATAAGAGCGGTTTTTCCGACTAGACAGACTTTAGCTCTGCACCATCCCATTGACAGTTTTGTATAAATCTTTAGACCAATTCCGACCAACAGCACATAAAACGCTATTGTTATTAGAAAATACATGATAATCACCTTTTCACTACTGCGTAACGTTATAGAAAATTGCATATGTTTTATATATTTCTTATCAAAAAGACAACACAATAATTGAACTTTCTTGTTCAATGATCACAAATTAATGTTATTAAATGTATATCAGAAGCGAACTTTGGTTTATGCATATCTTTTAATGATATATTATTATAAGAATAGCACAATGAAAGTTGTTAAAAAATATTGATACATGACAAAATCAAAAGTAAACAAGCAAATGCCTATTATTTAAAATCAATCAAGCAACATTATTGCACATGATTTTGTTACTTGCATATGTGGTTATTTATTATACTAAATTTACGACAATTTCTTTGTTCATAAATTTGAAGCTAGAAAATCAATTTATTTCATTAGATTAAAATTATTCCTAATCATTTCACGAGATTAACTCGTTTTGTAAATAAAGTCCTTATTGTTCGTGTACTTTACAAAGAATTAAAATATATCACAATATTGTGATAGTACAAAATGTTTTATTTTTTTAGCAATAAAATCGAATATCTTATTATCAGAGTAAGCAAAATCAAAATAATATTTATAATACTAAAATGTAAATCAAATTTAACCATAAAATAATGAAAAGGAGAAATAACATAATTATTCTGCATCGGGCTGTCGATTTTGATCATGTTGCCCAAGTTTTTTTCATTATCTTAAATAAAATACCAAACCAGAAAGATCAAGGTCGATAAATTTAATTTTAACATGTGTGTTTATTTGATTAATTATGTAGAATTGTTTTGTTCATCTACCACCAAATTTCTGAACGCAACAATAGCAACAATATTTATAAAGAACTTCATCACCTTCAACCAGAAAATCGTCCCGGTTTACGGTTTGGTTCTAAGTAAATGTTTATCGTTCTAGATTCGTTCGGTTCGTCTAAAAATTTCAGTCCGGTTCCGGTTGAAATTAAAATTTAAACTAAAAATATAACAATTTAAATTAGTTAAAGCTACAATTGAACCGAAATTAACCTTTATTAAAATTTCGTTCCGATTTCGGTTATTCAATTCAGCAATTTTACGTTCCCGTTATAGATACGGTTCTGTTAAAAAATCCTGTTAATTTCGGTTCGGTTCCGCTTCGACTCTGCCTTCAACATGCTACATTAATTTCTAACTACACATAAAAAAAACTGTTATTCATAAATTACATACAAAATGATTTGTATAAATTCATATAAAAATGGTGGTGTAATAAAATTATTATTAATAATAGTAGTTACTGCAACAATATATATAATATAATACTCAATATAATAACAAAAATTAAATTAAACTGCTACAAAGGGCTATTGACTATAAGTTTTTCTGCTCTATTATTAATGTAATTGTTTATCTGTCATAATTTAGTCCTTTCATTAAAAGTAAAACGAGTAAATAGATTATTTTCAACATTTATTTATTTATTATTTTAATTTATTTTAAGTGGTGTAAAAGGGAAAATATGTAAATAAAGTACCGTGTAAAACGAAACCATGTAAATTGAGTATCGTGTAAAAAGAGGGATATGCGTATTAAAAAATATAACTGTCAAATAATGTTTTATAAATTGCCAATAAAGTAATTACGTAAAATTCCACCAAGTTTGTAAAAATGTATGCAAGAAAGAAACTTATAATCTACAATAAAAATATTCATCGTGGAATTACAAAATTAAATATTATTAGTTTTGTTGACGTTATTTATACTAAAGTTTGATGAAGAAGAGAAAGATACATTTTTTTTTTTCAATATGATCTTGCTATTTTTTCTTCTTGGGACAATTTGACCAGTTTCTCGCTTATAGTCCAAACAGCGTCGGAGAATGCCTCGTCTGTTGCTTTTGCCGGGATTTTGGAGACTCTGCAATTCGAAAAGTAATGCCCGGATATTCCTTCAACGGATTTATCGATGGCGCAATGCAACGTTGTCTGAGCACCCTCCTCAGGACTCTTAAATACCAAACACGTAAAGATTTTTTTTATCATAATGAGGTTTAGTGGATGTCTCTTACTTTCCCAAAGGACCAAAGGAGTATGTCCCCAATGAAGTGGACAATCCTCAAAAACCATGTAAAATCTCCAATACGGTTTTTAAAGGAATTAAAGATGGGCGTGCAGACTACGCCTGGATATGCAGCGTTCACTGTGATGCCGTGCTTTGAAAGTCTTTTGGCAAAACCCCTTGCTGAGATTAGATTACATAACTTGCTGTTGTTGTAATTGACAACAGTGTTAATATTCTTGTTCTTAAACTTGGATGGACTATTGATATCATTTGCTTCTTTCAGCTGGTGCAAGAAAGCCATAAATGAGGTGAGGAAGACCACGCGACTCTTCGGCGTTTTCTTTAAGAGATCTGAAAGAAAAAGTTTGTTGTTTGCGAAATGGAATTGAACGGTCTTTACCAACTAATAGGTGAGTTAGGAGGAATGAACCGAAATGGTTAATGTGAATATCCATCAATATTCCATCCTCGCTATAACTTTCTGCAAAACCAGCAACGCCTGCATTGTTGATCAGGATGTCCAATCTGGGTTCAGTATTGATAATATCTTTGGCAAATGCTCGAGTGGACTTGAAGCTGCCCAAATCTAACCATTTGTAGATGATATTATTATTACCAGTTTCTTCAACAATTCGCTTTCTGCTGGATTCAGAATCAACGACATCAGCTATTATCACCCTGCATCCTCTAGACGCCAAATGCAGGGCGGTTTCGTATCCAATACCTGTTCAAAGATAACTATACTAAATCATATTTATATATAAAAATATTGATAGATTTACCAGAATTACCGCCTGTTACCAAAGCTGTTTTTCCGACCAGACACACTAGGTAAATTTACCCGTTACAGCTTGTTTCACTTTTAATTGTTTTATAAATTGAATTGAGAAATAAATGATATGATATGAACAAATTAACATGAACAATAATTACATTGATTTTAATTTTGTTATGAGTCAATATTTTATAATTATTTTCGTTGTGCTATTTTAATAATAACTTTTATGAACCAAAAGTTCATAAACCAAAGTTCACTTCTTGTATGAATTTAATAAGATTAATTAATTTAATCATTTTTGATAAGAAATATATAAAACATGCGCAGTTTTCTATAAAGTATCGTATAACGTAGTATAATAATTCCATTATCTTTTTGATATGAAAGATAATAAATATGTATATTCCGCTATAATATGACGCAGTAATGAGCCTATGCTCAGTAAGAGTAATCATGAGTTGTTTAATATCAATAGCGTTTTATGTGCTCTTGGCTGGAATTGTTCTAAAGATCTACGCAAAACTGTCAATGGGATGGTGCAAAGCTAA